TTTTAAAGGTACGTAGGCAGCTTAGAGATTTTCTAAGTTCAGTCATAAGATATATTCGTCTTTTAAGTTAGTCAATTTCGGTTGATTTGGCGAGGAAATGAAGTGCAACATTTGAGATCGCATGATGTGAAAAGAAACAAATCATTTCATTCCATAACCTTGAGTCTTATTACATGAAGAAATGAACGAAAGAGTCGCAAACATGTCTAAGCAAAAGGATTCAAGCTTCCTAGCTTCTCTTTAGTCGCCCTCAAGTTTGACTTCAACATCTTCAACTGTTCAGCCACTTCTTCGTCCAACGATGGACCACTGCTGATGGCGAGGATCTCCTCTTGAGTTAATTTCACCTTGGCCTTGGCACTATCGAGTGACTCTTGTTGCTGCTTCAATGTTTGGGATAACGTTTCTGCATTCACCTTCAACTTCTCAAGCTCTTCCATGACTCCCTTTAGCTCAGCCTGAGTTGACTTTGTTTGATTTGATTCAATATCCTCCTTCGACTTATCTTCACGAAGACGGTCTTTAGCTTCAGCCAATTGTCGAGCAATATGTTCCTTCGTCGCCTTCCCTGAAGATTTCGACCGTACTCCGTCGTAAGAGTCGGCATTGTCAAACAAGACCTTCAACGGGCTTTCGATGGTGGAAAGGTTAAACTTGTCGCATTTCTTCATGGCATCGAAAACAAGTGACACGTCTTCTTTTATGGAAGACAAGGAGTCGATAGGAGTCGCCATGACCTTGTCACGGAGGTCGTACCACATGCCTTGAAGATACTTCTTTTGGCGGTCAAGAAAGAACTTCTCCCCTTTGAACTCTGAAATGACTGGAGTATGAAGCTTTTGTTCAGCAGTAGGTTTTTTAGCACACGTTGAATCATTTGCTGCAGAAGTCCCTTCATCGTCTTGCGACTCTTCGTCATCGTCAGAACCAAAGATATCCCGTCGCGCCTTAAAAACAATAATGAAATACATATATCAATTAGAAAGAGAACTCGAGATAGAAGTAAAGAAGAAGATAGAAAACCTTAGCAATGAGGTCCTCTGTCTCGTGTTGATTCTCTACCGCTTTCTCAACATGCTGCTGGGAACCAGATTGTTGTTTTGCTCTCTTCCAATGTTGATCTGCATTGCTGCTCTCTTCTAAAGAGGTTGACCTACTCTTTCTCTTGTTGGTCTCAGGAATTCTGGCAAGAAGCGCCTCATGATCTCCACTTGTAGAATCACCCCGGTCAACAACTGGCTCTTTGCCTCTCGAACATATCATGTTCGGCTTTGATGCAAGCAAATTCTCTATATGGCGCTCAAGATAGCCTCCATGAACTTGATGCCACCATGACTTATAAGCTGGTGTTGATTTCTTTGCACTTGTTGAGGCACAAGGTAACGAAGCTTTGGAAAAGGATCCGCATAGAATGCTCTGTTGCCAGTAGTAAATTCCATCGTCAAGAGAGCCCTCGCGAAAGTCTTTCTTCAAAGTGCCGGGAACATCTTGATAAAACCCAAATTGGCGACTGAATCGGTGAGGACTATACGGCTCAATGAAAAAGCGACTGCCTTGACGCCACGTAAGGTAGTTAGACCGAATCTCCATGAAGTACCTCCATTCGTATCTAGACCTTCGTTGATCATCGGCGTATCGGGAAGTCTGGTCTTTGATGATGATATTGCAAGTCCATGAGGCGGAGTCTCCCTTGTGGATACGTCTGCGGGCTTCCTCGGGGTCAAAGTGTCTTGCGCCGTTCTCACCGGAATATGTCACCATCAAGGGCTTGTGCGTTTGACCAATTATGAAGTGAGTTCTAAAGTAAATCGCCAACCAGCTGTAAACGAAGTGGACGGGAAATGTCGATCGAGACTGACTTTTGTAGCTTGTAAGCTCGTTCAGCCCCTTGTAGATGCTCGTCAAGACTGGAACCGCAAGGCCAACTATATATAACCCTTGGCCATCATGCTTGCCATCTTGAAGGTGCCTGGGCGAATTATGTCGACGTCGTCGTTGGGAAGGACAAACGTGCATATCCAACATGAGAGTCACACCGCTA